ATCATCCAACGGCTATACAATTACGATAATTTGTGTATAAATTTGATGCCAGCAAAAAGTTGTTTTTTTTTTTTTATCTCTCGAAAGAGATAAATGTACAATATATTGCTATTGCTAAAAAATATATCATGTATCAGTATTATATGTAGACATGGCGGGAGGACTGAATCGATGCCAGATGGCTGAATTTATATATTTTATAGGGTTTATCACGTCTCCTTCTACATCTTAATATACCCACTATACTCTGATTTCCCATTTTCAATGGGTTCAGTGTATAAAAATCAAATTAATCAAAGAGTAATTGACAAATATCAAGCTGACATCTCAAATGTTGTTTGACAGATAGTGATACAAAATTGATTTGATGCCTAATTGATGGAAGAAAACCGCCGCATATTTCGAATTCCAATAAGAAAAATGATATATATAAATATGCTTTATAGCTGGGTGTCACTTTTTACAGGTGGATCGCCCGCCAATTGGTATTGTTAACACAAAAGTTATCAGCTCGATTTGAGCATGTATTTAGCACATTGTGTGCCACTACGCCCAACGCACTCTTTGCTAGACAAATTGACAGCTTATGTGCTTGGGGGTGCTATACACGCAGCTCGCATCCGCGCCATGCCCAAGCGATGCCGAGTTGACCTTGGGCATAGCTCTTGACCTTCGCACGACGAAACATTTCAGCCATTGACCCCCAAAAAAAGCGAGTAAATAGTCAGTCGCAGCGCAGTTGTGTCAACGGAACTTAAATTGCTTTCGAGCTCGAGAGGTTTTTGAACTATGCACAAGACATATCAAGTACTCCCCATAGTTTAACCAATGCCAATGCAATCAAATTAAGCTTCGTTCGAACTGTGCGGAAACTCAAACAAGCTGCATCACAATATTTACATTCAAGTTTTATTACGATTTGATTTGGGAAACTTGATTTCTTTGGGTTTGTTTTTATTTATTTTTATTTATTAAGCACTTGTTGAGGGTACACAACTTTTGTCTCGCAGTGTGTCACACACATATGGAAAATATTTGTAAACAGCTAGCAAGTGTTTAGTTGAGCTGTGCTAATATACTGTATATAGTATTGATATCGTCATTATAATCAGCCAATTGCATCTGACAACTTCAAATATTTCTATACCTAACAATCTCAATTATTGTTTTCAAAATTATTTTTGTTTACAATTCAATCTCATTCAGCTTGCATAAAGTATTTATAAATAAGTTTATTATTATTCATACCCAATCATAATTCGAAAAATCAATAAATGAATAGTTTCTTATGGAAAGTTTTGCTATTTTTAAACTTATTTATCGGTTCTCGTAAGATTACAGCCTTATGATTCACCCAACACATTTAGAATGCTCAATACGTATTTTGATTAAAGTTTCCGTTCAACCTGATTCTCTTATCAGATTGCTAGCAAGCGTATTTGGCTTTCGACTTGGCAGTCGCTCAATTGATTATTTTCTGTTGACATATTTACATAGTATATAACTGAATGCGATTTCGCTGCATTTATTTACGGC